CAGCTTTACCGTGGCCCAAAGGATATGAGATAGGCATCAATCTCAGTTCATACATTTGACCTTGGTCCCTCATTCGGGTGCAATCCAAAGCGGCAACCGCGTTGTTCTGGTGATGGTTGAGTTATAGGGAAGAACTTGTTAATATTGAGTATGAAACTTTTTATATAAAATTTATAATTAATTTAAAATCAATTGATAATAAATAGAATAGTTTTCTTTATATTTAATTTATATATATATTTTTTATTGTATTCTCATATTGAGACTTTTAATTTCATTTAACAAAACTTTCACAGTTGTACGTGCGTGGATCTCATGACCCTCGAGAAGTTGGGAGAACAACAGAGGAAACTTAAATGTATGGCTCCTCGGGTGCCCAGCAGCTTCCTTGCGCCATGAATCTGGCGAGCATCGGATGAGGAACATAGATCATAGTGTGGTCAGGAAGAGGAAAAGTGTGTGGAGGTGGGGGAAATGTCTACTGACGGGTTTGAACAGCTGGACTAATTCATGAGCTACCGATCCTTTTGAGTACATTGGATTTAGTTGTTGTTGTTGTTGTTTTTTTTTTTTTTGGTGGGCTTTTGTAACTGGTGCTGTTGGGTAATAGGGAAGTGGCAGTTTTTATTGTCTTAGACAATTAACGTTCTGTCTAATAATATTGTAATTTTGAGTTTTTAGTTTATATTTTTTACATATTTAGTATTTATTATTATATTTAAAATAAAATTAAAATATCTGAATTTTTATTTTAAAACATAGAAATACTAGGGATTAGAGCAGCACTCAGCATGGCAAAGATGGAAGAGTAAATCTGGTTTCATACGTTAAAAACGAGTTTTTCCAGAAAAGAAGAATGACATAGAAAATAACCGAAGCAATCCATGTCAAATTCTCCAACAGAAATTTCCAAGCAAGTCAATTTGCACGAAGAAGGGAAACAAGCTATATGGTATTGAAGAACCTAAGAAAGAAAAGAAAGATGCAGTTAGCTGAATACTTATTTTGCTTAAAAAATCCATTAACTAGAAACTTATGAAATTCATAATTGGACAATCATTGTAAGGCACGACCAAAGACAATATCAAGAAAATATAGCAAAATCTTACCAATAGAGTTTGACTGGATATGCTAAGGGACTGAATATTATTTAACCCATTGAACAATCAGTTGGCCTAGTGAAATGAATAACAGCTTCAGCAAGAGAATGCACATCTACAAATTGGTGAGAGCAAAAATAGGAGGAAGAGTATTTAAAGTAGACAAGTCTGGGGGCGTTAATAACCAACTGAGTATTCTCTTTTAGCAGCAAGGTAGGCATTACATAGGTAATGGTCAGTCTCTTGAGTGAAGGATTAGACACAATTTATGACATCCAACCAAGCATGAATCCACAACCAAACCCTCCAAAGAAGGGCAGCTAGAAAAAAACCTTTCACTAGACCTATCGTCTAAAAATCCAAATTCACTGAGATGAAGAACTTTTAGACTTGAGAAACAAACACTAGCAGGAACTTTCAAATCATAAGATTAATATTGCTGGAACCATTCCAACTTCAGAATCACGAGTGTCTTGCATGAAAACAAACTAATTGGCACAGGCAGGCCACGACACCGCCAATTTTCAACACATAAGTCAAGCTCGTGAACAGTTCGAGAAATTAGAGCACGTATCCACACATCAACACACAAAGGATCAAGATCTCCTGCACACTTGAGATGGATCTATTTATAGAGAGTTTCCTAGAGAGGAACAACACTCTGTCTACAACAGTCACGAACCGCATCACTTTGAGTTCATCTGCATGATTATCACCCAGCTCAACGTTCAGATTAGAAATCAAGGTGAAAAGATTGCTACTGCACCAGGAAAATGCAGCAAGCATGCAGAAGCTACTCTGCAGCACTACTAGGCCGGTGCAATTTGTCAAATGGCCACACAATTAAGTCAGCAAAAATGGCTAACCAAGTCCACGAAAATGGCTAACTCCCAACTGTGTTATGCTTTCATTTATTACCTTAGTTGGATTTTGCCTATAAATAGCCAGGTTCCCTCCGATGTATTCATAAGTTTTATCAATTAATGAAGTTTCAATTTTCTTCTGTTTTGAGTGAATTTCGTGGAAGTAAATTCTCTCAATTTATTTTTGTATCTTAGGTTTTGCCAACTTAAGCAGTGATCTGGCAGGGATTTTAAATCTCGTTGAAATTGGTGTTTCGATATCAGCTATTGCGCCAGCTACACCTTTTCGAAAGAATGGACGTACAAACTGCATCTTTAATTGGAAGGAATGAGCGTATGTGACCAAGTATTTCATCTGGGAGATCATTGATATTGTCCACACAACTCACAACCATATTAGCCATTTTGTTGACAAATTTGCCTGCAGTCTGCAGAGAAAAACACAAGAAGGTTAGACCATAAGCTCCTTTTGAGTATTCCATTATTCCTACATTTGATTGTAACCGATTAAAACACAGAAATATGATTAAAGTTTTCAACTTTCCTCAATTCAAACGCATGCAGCTAGTCTGAAATTTCCATCATCAATCAAGCAATAGAGAAACTAAAAATGGGAAATGCATTAAAGCCGCTCCAAAATCGAAAAGACAAATGAAAAGGAGGGTTCATGAGAATTTGGAAAGCAGTACAGGGTTACCTCCTGTTTGATGCTGAAAGATTGGAACTTGCTATTGGGTTTGAACGAGTAACAGCATTGGGAGCCAGAAAGGCCTAATGGGTACCCGAGTTTTTCCTATTAAGGGAGTTGGAGCAGAGGAATAATTAATCAAGATAAAACACCTATGTCAGAAAATTATAAAGAGGCGAGAATCGGAAAATGACATTCAAAAGTGGAAAATAGGCATTGAAGTGTCAATTGGGTATTCGTTTGGATTCCACTCTGGCCTGCAGTGCGGCCATGGTTCTCTCAGATCGCCTACTAGGGAGAAAGCCTGCTGTATCCGGGATACCGCTGACGTGGTATCTCTTTCAATTTGACGTGGCATCTCGATCAACCACAGCATGTCACATCATAAAAAAATTTTCATCTTATTAGTCATGTCAGCTTATTCAATAGTAAAAATAATGATATGGCATGTTTTGATTGATTAGAGATATCACGTCAA